TTGCGTTGCTGTTCAGATTTTCGAAAATTGCGTATAACCACTTTGTCGGTCTTTTTGTGTTCCTAATCAGTAGCACAATATATTCTATACTACCTCCCTCATCGTTTTTGCAACTCTTCGTCGTTTTCCGTGTCTTACCCATTTTTACGGTTTTCACGCTGTCTATTGCTTTGTCATTCTCTGTTTACTCCTGACCATTGCGTGCTAAACGTTGTAATCCCTCTCTTTCCTCAAAGAGAGCAGTGCAGACAGTAGCAACGAGAGCACCCTCAGCATATTCATCCGTGGTGAAGGATTGCAGGGTCATGCTTGATGACCCACTTAGCGCAGCTCAAGTCAAAATTCGCCAATTAGAAAATGAGCTTAGCATGCTTAAAAATGAGCTGCTTACGATGACTGCAACTTTGGAGAACCTCAAACTACCGTCGGTGCTGTCGGGATTAATGAAAACTGATAATCCAAACGAACTGAACGCCGCTGGCGATTTATTAGCAGTACTTTGCGACGAAGTAACGGAACGTGTACGTCGTTCCCAGAATGCCGTCATATTCAACGTACCTGATCGCTTGTCACTTGAAAAAGTGAAACGTTCTCTTTTAGGTACATACAACACATCACCAGATTGCTGTGCCTGCAAACGGCTACGCAAGTCTGGTAAAACTCGCACTTACTCCATAGTTTTGACTTTTCCTACTCCACAACTTGCTGAAACATTTATGGGCCGTAGGCTGGTTGTGTCCACGGTGGCAAACCTTGGGCCGATTATCATTAAACCTGACAAAACCCCACTTCAAATATCCTTAATGTCGTCAACCAAGCCAGAGGGCAAGCGCAATGCTCTTATTGACTCATCTGCAAAATCTTCGGCTAAACCGATCATCGTGCCAGCGATAGACCTCGACTTGTCTCCAAAACAAAACTCACTTCGGATGCGCAATCTGCAACAGCGCGAAGCTTGCCTTAGACTGAAGTCAATGAAGGACCTTCGTCTGCACTGGCTGCTATAGCCATCGATTCTTCTAGCGATGTGACTTATGGCTACTCAGACATGCATGACACTCATGCCGCACCTGGTCAACCATCTAATTGCATTCTTAACTGGGTATCTAACTTGGATACTCCACTGCCTGCTGTCACCGACCCTAAGCATAAACAATCTCTCACCGCGAAACCCACCACAACAGGAAGCTTCTTTCAGCCTGCATTGAACAGGTCATTTGCACCCTCACACTCTGCTATTGCCGTTGATACTGTAAGTGCTATGTCACATAGCGATTCGGACATGAGTGTTGAGTCTACTATAGTCCAGACTTATAAGCCTGATTCTGTTTTTTACTTGCCTATTGACAACAATCAACTTAATAGTCGCAATCGGCCTAAAACCCCAAGAGCCTCAAACAACTCACGTCAACCCAACAACAGGAAACGCCCTAAAGCATGGCTTTCAACCCCTGCGTGGCACAGAAACAATGCCGATTCCAATATTCACAACGCAGAAGCATTGAAGCGCAGATCCTCGCAGTTCTCATCTCCATTTATGAATGTAGTAACGCTCCAAGGCATCCCACACCGAAAACCTTATCTAGTTGAAAAGCCCGATTCTTCCGTTCTGCTAGTCCATGACAGCAACGGATCCAAGAGTTGTACTTGGCTCCCAACTCAGAGAACCTTGAAAAACTCACGCCAACCTGACAACAGAGATAGCCACAAAGCACGGCTATCAAAGCCAATGAGGTACCATTACACCGTCAAATGCAATAATCACAATGCACATGAACAGGAGTCCAGATAGCCGCAAAAGCCGCCTTCAGTTACGAGTGTGGTAATGCCCCAACGCATCTTCTCACCTCACAAGCCTTATCTACTTGAAAAACCACACATCACAGGGCTCGATCGCGGCCGAAACCGTACCAGTGTAA